AAAAAAAGCTTCTTGGATGAGAAAAGAAGAGAAAAAAGCTAAGAAAGTCGAAAAGCACCTTTGGGATAACCGTGACCTGGACGGCTGACCCTCTCCGTAAACATTCAGCAACTTTGGGATGTCTTCATTGGCCCCTCTTGTCTTTCAGCCCTGCAGTCCTTCATTCGCTCGTACGCCACCTACCCCGCCAACCTCAAGCCCATCTTCCACATCCGGGCTCTGCACTTGGGTCACGTGGCCAAGAGTTTTGGACTCCGCGACGCTCCTGGGAATCTCGGCGCTGCTGCCGGAGCCTCGCGGCCGGGAAAGAAGCAGAAAAGGTAAAATGCAAAATAGAGATATCTCTTGGATAGAGATTTCAGAGACCTGAGTCTTCCTTCCTTAAAAGGGGAGGTGGACATGAGGCAATGCTGAGAGTTTACAGTCTTTTATTTAATTATTATATTTATATGCTGCCCCAGATCACTCTCACGCCACCCTGGGCATCTTACAGTCCAATGAAACAGTCTTTATTTTTATTTTACCTATTTGTTTATTCAATTTATACGCCAGCCAGTTCGCTGCCACGCCATGCTCGGCGTCTGACAATCCGATGATATTATTTTATTTATTTATTTTAAACGGATTTTAAATGGATATGCTACCCAGCTCACTGTCAACGCGACCCTGGGCGTCTTACAATCCGAGAAACAATATTATTATTTTTTTACTTATTAAATTTATATGCCAGCCCGTTCGCTGTCACACCACGTTCTGCGTCTTACAATCCGATAAACGATATTATTTTATTTTACCTATTTATTTATTACATTTATACGCCAGCCTGTTCGCTGTCCCACCATGCTCCGTGTCTTACAATCCGATAAGCAATCTTTATTTTATTTTACTATTTATTTATTACATTTATATGCCAGCCAGTTCGCTGTTACACCATGCTCAGTGTCTTACAGTCCTATAAAGCAATCTTTATTTTATTTTACCTATTTAATAAATTTGATATGCCGCCCAACTCGTTATCCAGTGACCCCGGCTGGCTTAGGTGATAACACGAACGCTATAAAACAGTGAAAAGATTTAAAAAAACATGAAAACATCAGGCGGTGAAGTCCCAACCTTAAAATTCACGTCAACCTTAAAATTCAACCTGATCAAAGATTAAAAGAGTCAAGACAATAAGTGTTTGGAGGGATTTCCCCCCCACCCACCACCACTTCTCTTGTGCTGACAAAGCTGATCGGGAGACCCGAGGGTCCCACAAAGACAGCCCCTCTCCTAATCCGAACTCCCCCCCCCCTTTTTTTTTGACAAGGAGCAGAAACGGGGTGGGGGCTGACAGTTCTGCCTCTTTGAACCAAATTAAGTGAGATGGGGTGTGTGCGTGCGGAGAGGGAGGATCTCTGGGCATTGTCCTCTCCAGAACCCGCTAGGGACCCCCCCGTGTTTTTGGGGGGGACGGTTGACCCTCGCCAGCAGATGGGGAGCACGACAAGCGAGCGGGGGTTGGATGGGTGGGTTTAAAAGAGCTTTATTGAGTGAATAGTGGCCTGATTAGCCGATAAAGAACATGTAAGATGGCATGGGGGCTGCTTTTGAAGTCTCGGTGACCCAGCGGGGAGCGGATTGACTGACACCGAAAGTCTCTTCGGATTACAGGCAGACAATGTTTTCCTCTGTTCCCGCAAGCTTGTTAGTCTCTTAAATTCCCTTTCCCTACACTCTCAAGGGTCTAGCAGAAAAGCAGGGGACACTGATACCAAACACGCCCTTGTTCCACACTCCTGTAGGAGAATAAAAGCTTTCTCACTTTCGTTTCCAGAAATCCGGGTCCGGTCTTCCCGGCTCGGGTGAGCCACCAATGCTTTCCTTTAAAATGAGTACATTTCGCGTGTTTTAAAAGAAATACATTTTGATAAATTTATCGGTCGCTTTAGAGGCAACACTTGGGATATGGCAACCAATTCTGGTCACCGCGATACAGGAAAGAAGGGAGAGAGCAGAATAGCAGAGCTATTACAGACCGTAAGAGGTTTCTAACAGAGCCCGACAAAGAGACCTTGGAGGTCTTCTAGTCCAGCCCCCTGCTCAAGCAGGAGACCCTACGCCATTCCAGACAAATGGTGGTTCAATCTCTTCTTAAAAACCTCCATTGTTAAGAGCACCCACAGCTTCTTAATGCAAGGTCCTTGGTGCTCTCCGAGCCTGGTGGTTTTCTTGCAGACATTTCGTTACCCAACTAGGTAACACCATCAGTGCATCAGTGTATCTAGAAAGAGTGCAGAGAAGAGCAGGAAAGATGATCGGGTTTGGGAGCTAAACAGTACAATGAACGGTTGTGGGAATTGGGTCTGTCTAGTTTAATGAAGAGAAGGACGAGGGGGGGACATGATAGCAGCATTCCAGTATCTCAGGGGCTGCCCCAAAGAAGAGGGAGTCAAGCTCTTCTCCAAAGCCCCTGAAGGCAGGACGAGAAGCAACGGATGGAAACTAATCAAAGAGAGAAGCAACCTGGAACTAAGGAGAAATTTCCTGACAACGAGAACAAGTGGAACTGCTTGCCACCAGAAGTTGTGGGTGCTCCATCCCTGGAGGCTTTTAGGAAGAGACCGGACAGCCATTTGTCCGGAATGGGATAGATAGGGTCTCCTGCTTGAGCAGGGGGTTGGACTAGATGACCTCCAAGGTCCCTTCCAACCCTATTATTCTAGGTTCTAACCTGGTCACTGATGCTCCAAAGCCACCTTTTTCTTCTTCTTCTTTCAACCGAGTTCTCGCAGCCCAGAGTTGCAGCTGAATCATCATCTTCTCCTGGCGTAGCCGTTGCCGATGGCTCAGGAGCGGCCGGGCTGCCAATTTTCTTGTGGCATTTAAGGGGCCTTAATATCACTTAATTAGAGGCAGGAAGAACTGGAACCCTTCCCAGGAGGAGGGTAGGGTTTCTTTTTTTTTTCTTACCCCCCCCCTCTGTGCAGCAACCAGACTGATGCTGCCCTACATAATAAAAGTTCTCTTTCCCCCCCTTTTTTTAAAAAAAAAATAAAAATAAAAACGGTCAGGGCTAGTCTCCGATCGAAAAATTGGCTTACCTGTTTGGATCTGAGTTGTAGATGGTGCCACAGCTGAGCCCAAAATTTCTGTGGCTAATCAAGATCGTTGTTAAGTGAATTTTGCCCCATTTTATGACTTTTCTGGCCACAGCTCTTTAAGAGAATCCTTGCGGTTGTTAAAGTTAGTAACACGGCTGTTAGGTGAGTCTGGCTCCCCCCGTCGGCTTTCCTTGTCAGAAGATTGCAAAAGGGGATCACATGATCCCCAGGACAGCCGCAACCGTCGTAAATATGAGCCAGTTGCCAAACGCCCAGATTTTGATCGCGTGACCGCGGGGATGCGGCAACGGGTGTTAAACGTGAAAAGTGTTCCTAACTCGCTTTTTTTTGGGTGCCGTTCTAATTTGGAATTGACTTCCAGTGAAAACTTGTTAAGGACCACCGGCAAAATAAAACTTTTGGTGGACTTTTCAGAGAATCCAAGGCTGGTGGCCTTGGAGAAGGAAACAAACGAAGCCTTTTTTGCTGGAAACCTAAATCCTAAAATATATATTTGCTTTTTAATTTCTCACCTGACTTGTCACTCTTTCTCTCCAGGCGTGACCATCTCAGGAAGACTCAAGTCAAACCTCACCTCAATTTTGCCTTTGAATATTCGAGTGGTTTGGACCCCTCAGCTTTGAAGAGGAAGAGGAAAAAAGGGCTAAGAAAATTGGGAGAGCAGAATTCTCCCAGCTGATCTGGGAGCTCTCGATGGCTTGTGTGGACAGGATTGGGAAACGGCTGGAAGAAGAGGGGAGACACAACCTCAGGAATGACAGTGCCCTTTTCAGTCTAGAAGAGGAAATCAGGTTCCACCAGGAATACCCCCTCCCTTCCTGATCTAGAAGAGAAGATCAACCAGGTTCCACCAGGAATACCCCCTCCCTTCCTGATCTAGAAGAGAAGATCAACCAGGTTCCACCAAGAATACCTCCTCCCTTCCTGATGTAGAACAGACCAACCAGGTTCAACCAGAATGTCCCCTTCCTTCCTGATCTAGAAGAAAAAAAACCTCACCAGGTTCAACCAGAAATGTCGTTCTTTCCTCTTGATCTAGAAGAGACCAACCAGGTTCAACCAGAAATGTTCCCCTTTCCTCTTGATCTAGAACAGACCAACCAGTTTCAACCAGAAATGTTCCTCTCCTCCTGATCTAGAAGAACAGACCAACCAGGTTCAACCAGACATGGCCCCCTTTCCTCTTGATCTAGAAGAGACCAACCAGGTTCAACCAGAAATGTTCCCCTTTCCTCCTGATCTAGAAGAACAGACCAACCAGGTTCAACCAGAAATGTTCCTCCTCCTGATCTAGAAGAACAGACCAACCAGGTTCAACCAGAAATCTCCCCTTCCTCTTGATCTAGAAGAACAGACCAACCAGGTTCAACCAGGTTGTCCCTTCCTGATCTAGAAGACCAACCAGATTCCACCAGGAACCTTCTCTTCCTCCCTGATCTAGAAGAGAAGACCAACCAGGTTCCATCCGGGTTAATCACTCCCTCAATTAAAGACATATTGACAATAAGGCAGTTGCGTCTTACCAAACCTTTCAGCTCAAATTGGTTTTCAGTGGGGAGAAAAAAAATCTTGAGGTACTTTAGGGAAGATTTGGGGAAACTCTGCCAGCAGGAAAAAAACCAAATCACCAGCAATGATTTGTTTATCAACCATGGCAAAAAAAAAGGCCATAAAATCAGGCACGGCTCTCTTCCCAACTGCCTCGTTTAGCAACACAAATCCCAATTCTAGTCATTAGTCAAGGACTGCCTTGCAGAACCCGATTCCTCTTTAAAACCAGGGGAACTTTTCAGCTTTTGAAGGAAGCAAACCTTGGCTCCCTCCTACGTCAAGAGACATTTTATAAAAGGGCGGCCCAGGCAATTTTAATTTGGGCTGAATTTTCGCCCTGCTCAATACGGCTTCCCTGCTTAGAAGGAAAGTTAATTTTTTTCAAATCTGGAGTGTGAACTTTGTGAAAGGAGATGCCTTTCAAATCTCAAAAGTTACACAAGAGATACGCACACGCACGTACGCACACCGAGCTTGCTTTTGGGTGGTTTAATACAAGGAGTTGTGCACAAACCACCCAGGGCTGCTTCTGGCAAGGCTATATAAATTTGATAAATAAATAAATGAAACAGGAAAGACTCCAGCCAGTTTTCAGCCTCTCCTGCTGAAAATATCCTGAGCGCTCCCGAGTCACGCAGCAAAGCTCACGTCAGAATTCAGAATAAATCTTAACGTTTTCTGTTTGTTTCTGAACGAAACGCAGGCCGTCTGGAGCAGAAAAAGAAGAGCTTTTTGGCAGAGCAGAAATGTCATTCCAACATCGGAAGGTATCTAATCTCGATTTTGACAATCAACATTTTCTAAGCGCATTTATAAAGTTCCCTCTGAAAAATCTACCACTTGCCTGCCTTTAAAGTGGCTCTTTGTTCCGGCTTTAAGTGACATTTGCAACTTGGGTTTTACTCGTTGAGGCGATAGCGTCTCGGCTACGAAGCTGTAAGGCTGTCTTTCCGAATAAAACAAAACATTGTTTTAACGTGCCATCGGATAGGAAGGGGTTTTTTTTGTGTGTGTGTGTGTGTTTTCATTGCATAGAACAGGCAAAGCATTCAGAGCTACATCGGAGTTCAAACTCTGATTTGTCCCTGTTTTTTCATAGCCTGAATTATTCTGTAGGTCAATTAATCTGCAAAACTCTTAATATAGGTAGGCCACAATGGAGTCCAAAGTGAGTTTTGCCCCATTTTGCGACTTTTCTTCCTATAGCTGTTAAGTGAATCAGCGCAGTTGTGAAATTAGCAACACGGTTGTGTAAGTGAATCTGGTTTTACCATTGACTGACTATGCTGGTCAGAAGGTCGTATGACCCCTGCTGCGACCGTCATAAACATGAGCCAGTTGCCCAACATCTGAATTTTGATCAGCATGGAGGATGCTGCAAGGGTCCTAAGTGTGAAAAACAGAAGTCCCTTTTTTTTCCAGCGCGGTTGTAACCAAACGGTCGCTAAACGAGGCGTTGTAAGTCAAGGACTGTCTGTCAACACGAAACCCTTTTGATTTCCGGGGGGTCTCTACTTTGCAATAAAGGAACCCTTTTTTTTTTTTTGAGGGGGTGGGAGCAGATTTTGAATTTCACCCCAAAGCAGGAGACTGTCACCTTTCCATTTTGCCACCAGCAAACCTTTAATATGTTGTTTCAAATGAATTTTTTTTTTGGGGGGGGGGGAAGGAGCGGGTATCCCAGCGTCCAGCTTTTTTCCCCAGACCTGCCTGCAAAAAGCAGATTTTAATCGTGCGGCTTTTCCAGGCGTCCGAAAAAGTTGTCCTTCATTAACCCACAGACGGGGGGGGGGGGGCAGTTGCAAGAATAATGAAGTGGTCCCCAAATCTCTCCGGATTTGCATTCTTTTTTTAGGATGTAAGATGGTGGGCTTCATTATTTCGCCCCGTTTCTCCCTCTACCCCCCCCCCCCGTTTTTCTCTCTCTCTCTTTCACACCGAGTTGTTCCTTTGATAGATTTTTAATATGATTTTAAGAGAGTTTTGTTTGGCCTCATTCTTAGGCAATAAGATTAAATTTCAAGCACTTATCCCCTGGGTTTAAGTCAATCCATGTAGGCCAGTCCTTGAACAGGAGGCCTTTTTGTATTAAGGGGAGGGGGGGGTGTCCCTCCTCTGTTTGCCCTGCCTTGAAAGAGAGACTGCTTTCTTACTTCATTAACCTTAAGCTGAGGACAATCCGGCTGGTCTTGTCTGTCTTCGCACCCACACACACACACACACCCTTTTCTTTTTATAAGCACACACAAAACTCACTCGGATGCTCAGCCGGTCCAAATCCTCTTTTCCCCCTCTCCCTCAGTTGTGCTTTTGTTATGGAAAGTTGTCATTTTTCACAAGCAAGGTGGAGGGGATGAATTGCAGCTGCCTTTGGAGCTAAATGTATTGCAAAGAGTTCCCCCAAATTCTCTTTTCGGGGTTTATGTTTTCCTTTCCCTTCCTTCCTTCCTTCCTTCTTTTCCTTTACCTTTCTTTTCCTTCCTTCTTTCCTTCCTTTCCTTTTCCTTTTCCTTTTCCTTCCTTCCTTCCTTCTTTCCTTCCTTCCTCAAGGAGGTTGGTTACACTGTGATGTTGTGTCTAGTGGCTAAGGTACCCAGCTACAAACCTGGAGACTGGGAGTTGTAGTCCCCACTTAGGCATGAAAGCCAGCTAGGTGTCTTTGGGCCAATCCCCAGGAGGCGGTGAGTTCTAGTCCTGCCTTAGACATGAAAGCTGGCTGGGTGACTTTGGGCCAATCACCAGGAGATGGTGAGTTCTAGTCCTGCCTCAGGTACAAAAGCTGGCTGGTTGACTTTGGGCCAATCACCAGGAGATGGTGAGTTCTAGTCCTGCCTTAGACATGAAAGCTGGCTGGGTGACTTTGGGCCAATCGCCAGGAGACGGTGAGTTCTAGTCCCGCCTTTGACACCAAAGTCAGCTGGGTAGACTTTCAGTCGGTCATTCTCAGCCCAGCCCACCTCACAGGCTTGTTGTGGGGAAAAATAGGAGGAGGAATCTGTATTGGATACGTTTGCGGCCTTGGAATTATTTGTAAAAATAAGAAAAGCGAGATACAGTGGTTAGCCGGGTACTCAACTGCTTTGAAACTCATCAAATTTGGTACTGGGCGCATTTCAAAGCAAAAGATTTTGTACCCAGGAATCATTGTTTAGTACTTAATGACAGTGGAACTTGTCAGCTGTCTTGTGACTCACTACATTATTCCTTAGGGGGAAAAAATCGTTTGTTTTTGGTACGCCTCGCGCCTTCTGGACCCTATTAGTGATGAGTCCCGAGGTACCGCTGTACAAATAAATATTTATTTTGTTTAAAAAAAACGCACACATCTAAGTAAATCCTGGACGGTTGGACCGTAGAGAAGAAGAAAGAGCCAGCGCTTTCTTTTCCATCTTGTGAAACTCTTGTGAACCCGATATTTTATCGGAATAATAATTTGGCCTTTAACTTGGAGAGGAAAAGGATGGAGAGAGAGAAAGGGGAGGGGGCAAAATGAACTGCCAAAAAAACAAAAAAAAAACCAACCCCAAAACCCTGCTGCTCTTTTAAAAGGCTCGCAATCCATCTGCCACCTTCCCAAGATGGGAAGTGGGAGAGGGGGGGGGGCGGGAAAAATCTGAAAAAGGAAAAAGAAAAATCTGTAAACTCTCCCGGTGACCAGCTGGTGAGGAGAAACTGGCCGAAGACAGACGAGAAATACATTCCTGACCTTTCTCTCTCTCCCCCCCCCCCAAAAAAAATATGTTTCCATAATTATTAGTTTCGGCCCAAGAGATAATTTACAGCCATTATCCTGTTTCGGAAGACAAGCGTTCATAATTGGCCCAGCAAAATTGGGAAATGAGGTGGGGGGGTGCAACATCTTCCTTATGGCGGTCTCCCACCCTGGATCTGTCGTTGCTCCAAAGTGCAAAGAAAAAGGGGAATGAGTGAGGGGAAGGGAGGGGAGGAGAGACAGCCCCCTCCCTTCAAAGGAAGGAATTCCTTAAAAGAAATAAAACAGAGGTGGAAAAGTCTCTCTGATCTAATGGATCATTAAAGTGTCCGCCTCACCTCTGCTTCAGTTTTGGTCAGCACAATATAAAAAATGTTGAGACTCTAGTAAACGCAGAGAAGAGCAACAAAGATGGTTAGGGGGGCTGGAGGATAAAACATGAAGAGTTGCAGGAATTGGGTATGTCTAGTTTGATGAAAAGAAGGACTAGAGGCGACAGGATAGCAGTCTTCCAATATCTGAGGGGCTGCCCCAAAGAAGAAGGAGTCAAGCTATTCTCCAAAGCGCCTGAAGGCAGGACAAGAAGCAACGGATGGAAACTAATCCAGGAGAGAAGCAACCTGGAACTAAGGAGAAATTCCCTTAACAATGAGACCAATTAACCAGTGGAACCACTTGCCTCCAGAAGTTGTGGGTGCTTCAACACTGGAGGAGACTGGACAGCCACTTGTCCAGAATAGTATAGGGTCTCCTGCTTGAGCAGGGGGTTGGACTAGAAGACCTCCACTCTTATTCTGTATCTCTGCGTTCAAACTGCTATTAGTACCAATGTTTTCTAAAAAAAATAATAATAATCATAAGCCTCTTTTGTTATGTTGGAAGATATTCCATGCAGCTTCTCTACTAACCTAAGTCATTATTATTATTTTGCCTTCTCTTCAATCGTGGCCGATTCTTGAAGATTGCCTGGACAAGTCCCTACAGCAGTGGTTCTCAACCTGTGGGTCGGGACCCCATTTGGGGTCTATCGACCATTTCACGGGGGTTGCCAAGCAAGGCTGTCCGCCATTTTTTTTGTCCGCCATTTTTTTCCCCTTTTCCGGCGGGTGCCTTACCTCCCTTGGGCTGGGCCAGCTGGTGGTCGGCCTGCTCCGTCTCTGCCGCTTGCCAGCTACGCCTCGGCCGGCGCAGGGGGCGGAACCACGCATGCGTGGTGCTCCCGGGCAGGGAAAGTCCTCGACTTATGACCGGTTGGGTAGTCCTCGACTTACAACCGGTTTAGTCCTCGACTTACGACTGGTTGGGGTCGCGGCATTAAAAAGGTTGAGAACCACTGCCCTACAGTTTCCTTGGCAAGGTTTTTCAGAACGGTGAGCCATTGCCTCTTTCCCAGGGCTGAGAGAAAGCGGCTGGCTCAAGGTTATCCAGCTAGCTTTGTGCCCAAGGCAGAACTAGAACTCCCGGCCTCCCGGATTTTAGCTCGGTGCCTTAACCACTGCACCAAACTGCCTCCCAGCCACTGTTATTTGCCTACCAATTATTGTTGTATCAAAGCTTCGTCTTTCTTACGTGCTTAGATAAAACATTCTCTTTTCGTTTTAGATGTGCCTCCAAAGGCGATCTACCTCACAGGCTTGTTGTGCAGGTGAGTATTTAACTCCGTTTCAGGGAGAGGGGCGCTTCAGAAATGTGAAAAAATAAACCATGGATTTATTCCAACAATTCTCCTCCTAGCTGAGCTGGGCTCCTGGTCATCAAATGGAAAAACCCTTTTTGAGGTTTTCAACCTCTCACCATTGAGTATCCTCTTGGATATTTTAAGATGTTTCTGTTCCTGCAGCCCTGGCATTTCTCGTCTCCCATCCAAGTTTCTAACCAGGTTTGACCCCATTTAGCCAGGCAAGGAAAATAAAAGCAGATACATTTTAGAGATTGTCAAACTATAATACCGGTAACACAACCGACTTCTGTCATGGATCCATAGCTGTGAAGATGGAAGCACAGATACTATAACACAAGCAGTCCTTGACTTACAGCCACAACGGAGCCTAAGATTTCTTGTCGCTAAGCAAGACGGCTGTTAAGTGAATTTTGCCTCATTTTGCCACCTTTTGTCCCCCTTGACTTGGCTTGTCAGAAGTTCACAAAAGGGGATCACGTGACCCCTGGGGAACACTGCAACCGTCCTAAGTACATGTCAGTTGCCAAGCTTCCGGATTTTGATCCCCCGGCCACGGGCTTGCGGCCACAGGTGTGTGAAAAACGGCCTTCCGTCCCCTTGTGATCGTGGCAAATTGTGTCGGAGAGGAACAGATCAAGCACTCCTTCAGGTAGAACCTGGAAGACGACAGACGGACTGTCCTTGACTCACAAGCTCTTATTTAGGGACCAAAGTTGCAATGAAAAAAAAAGGACTTTTATGACCATTTTTCACCCTTAAGAAGCAGCCCTGCGGCCATGGGATCGCCACCATTTTACTCCTGTAACAGCGATGGTAGCAAGAAAGGTCGTAAAACGAGGCAAAACTCAATAAATGTCTTGCCGAGCGACACAAATTTTGGACAGGTCGAGGATCACCTGTCCAAAGTGGCTGGTTGGCTGGCTTTTTACTCAAAGGAGAGCTAGCTCTTGGAACAGGCTGAGATGCAGCAAAATTATTTCTTCCCCGCATGAGAAGAACGGACAGACGGACAAATTCCTTCGGGCTTTTCGACTTGCTCTGATGTTTCAACCGAAAGTCCTGCTTAGTAAAAATCAAAAGCCTTCGCAACGGCCTCCCTCTGTTTGTAAAGAAGTTTATTTCCACATTTTTTAAAAAAAAGAGAAAGAGAGAAGAGGTTGTTTTTTTTTTAATCTGAGCTGTTCTAAAGCGGAATTCTCCTTTTCGTCTTCTTTTTTTTTTTTCTTCCTTCCGTTATAAAATCCAGAAAAGAGAATCCCACAGTGGTACACACTTAACAAGACGCACTTACACAAATACATCCTTGGGGGGGAGGGGGGTTTCACCATAAATAATATACTTTGTGTACAGTTATTTACAAAGGCAACCAAAAACAAAATTAAAAATTAAAAAAAACAACAACTCACGGACCTCTTTTTTTTTCAAAAGAAGGAATGTCGTCTTGAAAAACCTTTGCCTTACCATAAAAAGGACTTTTTCCCCCCTTCTTTTTTACAGTACACTAGGATACAATCTGTGTGTTTTTGTTCTCCTGGCTAAGGAGGGGTAGATTGGTTCTACAGGCAAACTCCCAACTGAAAAGAAATTTAAAAAAAAAAAGGATCTGTTTCCAGACTCAATTTTTCTCATTTAGTCTTGGCTAAAAGACACCGAAACCAGACCACAGAGCTGACATTCAACAAGCATCAGGAGATGTGGCCTTCAAAGGAATATGAACTGTGAGTCTAGGAATGAAATGTATAATTGTACCCACTGGCACAAGTTTGGGGCAAGAATTGGAACATTCATGGAATAAAATAATAAAAAGAGACTTTTTTTTAATGGACCTCATCTCTCCCACCTTGCTTAAAAATGGGTTCTAGATATCATCCCAGCTCCCATGGTTGTTGAGACATCACATGTGGTAACTCCCAATACTTTGGAGACCATGACATACATAGAAGGATACCTAGATAACAATGGGATGAAATCTAGGTTCCAGAACATTGATAGATCCCTGTCCCTGGATCCAGAATCGGTGAAGTGTCCAGATCTTGTGGGGTGTCCAGATCTGAGCTGCAAAAATCCATAAGAACCAGTTGGTAGCAGGAAAGATCGGATGTCCTCCTCAGTGGTCCTAAGGATGTTGTAGACCAGTTCTGGAACCCCTATGGAAGCAACCGAGAACCAGCTTCTTCTACAAGATCTGGAAGTTCCCTTCCCTGCTTCCGCCCTTTTTGTGGCTTAAATCAGAATAAGCAGAGAAGGCCTTGCAAACCATCTCTCCATTTTTTCTTCATGAAAGGAGAGTCATCCATTTGTAGGGAATCCGCCTAGCGCGTCTTCCCTCTGACCCATATTTAAAGCAAGGGGTTTTTGTGTTTGTGTTTGCTCAGTGTTTGCGTTTCCATTCTTTTTTCTCTCTCTCTCTCTCTGTCTTTCTGCAAACAGCGCACAATCAGGAGTTGTGGTTCCGTCTGGGGATTTCACACAACCAACCCCCCTTGAAGAGAGCAGCGAAGATAAAGTTGAAGCTTTATCATCACTTTGAGACACCCAGAACTTGCTGGTACTCTCAGGTAGACACACATACACACAAACACGTGTGATGACATTGTGGAGCTTCTGAGTCCCTCTGGCGTGTGTTTTGAGATCTTTTTTTTATTGTCCTGGCTCAAATGTCGTGCCAATCTCACTCTACGATTAAAAAAAGACATTTTTGTTCAGTTGCTTTGCTAGATTATGGCCCATCGGGAGTCAGAACTGGGGTTTTGCTTCCTTTTCTGCAAAATGGGGGGGGGGCAGGACAATTTTGGGGGGCCTAAGAAAGTGGGCAAGGAACAAAAAGGGGAGAGAAAAAGACCACCGGGCCCTGCAAACTCAGAAAATCAATACTCAAAATCGATTGCTGATATGTACAACAAGGATTTCTGAAGAAATATATATATATATATTTCTTTTTTGTTGTTGTTGTTAAGCCAAGGAAGGGAAAACTCTGCAGAACATGGTTGCAAAGCAGAGAGAATTTTGCGATTTTTCAAAACAAACCCTTTATGTACAGGAAACATCAAAAAGAGGTTTTCTCCAACTGGGCATTTTCTATGAAAGTTTGAACTATAATGAGCCTTCATTTTTTATTTTTTTTTAACCGTGTTGGCTGGGGATTTTGGGAATTGGGAATTGAGCAGGCCAAGGTATGGAAAAGATTTGCTTTGCCTGTCTCTGTAGCACGGAGCTGAATCCCCAGACATAAGTGGCAACCTTGGGGTCGCTGAATTAACTCACCTTCCGGATTCACCCATTAGGCAGAGCGAACAGGGTTCACACAACTCATGAAACTCCCAAGAATTGAACAACAGGCCCAGGTTTGCCTGTCTGAAACATGTTTGAAGGACGGCTGGCTGTTGCTTGGTGAGTACGCCCCCCCCCCCAGCCAGCAAAACCCAGAATTCACACACCACCTCCTAAACCCAACTAGAACCCACTTCATCTAAGAAGTGAGCTGAAGATTGTGGGAAATAAGCCAGGAAATAAGCCAGGATAGAAAGAAAAAAAGGGGGAAAAAACGGATGCGGAGCAAAGAAGTCTGAAAGTGCCTGGGTTGATTTTTTTTTTTTTGCAGCATCTCAGCTTGGTAAGGGCCGGCGGTTAGCCTGGTGGCAAGCAAGAAAGGCGGTCGGTCGGTCGTGGGAATGGCCCCGAGATGCGTGCAGGGCTGCTGCGCCAGTTCCAGCCCCTCCCCGCGTCCTTCCCCCCCTTCTCCTCCCCCCATTCCCCCCTTGGCAGAGTCAATCCGGCGCAGGGAAGCGGGGGCGCCCCGCGTATCTTCCTGAAGCCAAGCCCCGGGTCGTGGGGAGGGGGTCCGCTCACCGGGGCTGAGCGGCTCTGGGGAGGACGCCGGCCAGCGGGGGCAGAGGCGGCGGGGGCTCGCTGCCCCCTTGCAGTCCGTGGATCAGGATGCGAGGGACCAGAGGCCGCTGGAGCGCCGGAGGGGGCGCGCTGGGTCCCCGGTACAGGTAGAGCGCAGCGCCGGGATCCAGGTTGGAGACCAGACTTTGCGGGTAGAAATAGGGCGAAGGGAACATCCGTTGCAGGGCCGAGTAGTTGCCCGCCTCGGCCAGCAGCTCCAGCCCCACCGCCGTCTGCCTCTTCCACTTGGTCCTGGAAGGGGGGAAGAGAGGAAACGGGGTTCAGACGGAGGAGGAGGAGGATTTGGTTGCTCTCTGAGCTGGGTGGTTTTCTTGCAGACGTTTCATGACCCAGCTAGGAGATGTCATCCATGCTAGAAGGGAGTGTGGTGTGCAGAGAGGAAGAGGAGGAGGAGGAGAAGGAGAAGGAGAAATGTAACTCCGCAGGAAGGTTGAAATTACTTTTATTGAGATGGGCACTAAGAACAGGGTTCAGATGGAGGAGGAGGAGGAGGAGGAGGAGGAGGAGGAGGGAGTGAATGTGTCTATGGAGATGCTCAATCATCCAGGTCCTGGTTGCTGCCCCAAAGGGGCTTTTTTCCAAAAGGCAACTGGATTTCCTTAGTTTTTTCTTCTTTGAAAACAGAATAGAGGTAGTCCTCGGCTTACAACAGTTTGTTTAGTGACCGTTCAAAGTTACACAGCCTTGGGAAAAGTTATTTATGGCTCTTTTTCACACTTACAACCATTACGCTATTCCCCATGGTCACGTGATCAAAATTTAGACGTTTGGCAGCCCGTTGTAGAGTGTCTTGCGAAGATCTTGAGATCTGAGACCCCAGCATGTTGCCTAAGGCAGGACTAGAACTCACCGTCTCCTGGAGATTGGCCCAAAGTCACCCAGCCAGCTTCCATTCCTAAGGTGGAACTAGCCTGCTTTCTAGCCTGGTGTCTCAACCACTAAAGCAAAGTGGGTCTATTCTTTAAAGTAGCTTTTCTTTAAGGGTGGTCTTATGATCCCACAAAGACCCCCACCCACCCACCCACCTCCGGGCCAGGGATCCTTAAAATCAAAGTCATTTGCTGGCCTGGGTTGAAAAAAATACTACAATTTTAAAATCCCATTAAACCACCCTGAGCAGCAGTGGCCGGAACGATGGCCTCAATTTTTAATTTTTAATTCAGTCCGTGTCGATAAATACAACCCATCCGAACGAAAGCGTCTTTGCGGGGATCCTCCGTAACTTTTAAAAGTGGGAGGAAATAGAACACTGACTGAGAGTCACGGTGGCACCGTTTTACACGCTCCTCCAGGTAGCTCCTCACACGTGTGTCCTTCTCTACAGGTAGTCCTCGACTTACGTCCACAACTGTTGCTAAGCGAGGCGGTTGTTGAAGGAGTCTTCGCCCCATTTTACGACCTTCCTTGACACTGCAGCTGCTAAGTGACTAACCTGCTTGTTCAGGCTTGTCAGAAGCGCACAAAAGGGGATCATGTGACACACACACCCCGGGACACTGCAACAGTCCTCAGTACAAGCCAGTTGCCAAGCATCTGAATTTTGATCACGTGACCACGGGGGAACGCTGCAACGGTTACGAGTGCGGAAACTGGTCGTAAGTAAGTGCCTTTTTTCCAGTGTCATTGTAACTTCTCACGGTCATTAAACGAAAAGTTGTAACTGAAGGAATACCCGTAGGGTCCCCAGGTTCTAACTCAAGGAGAGGTTGATCGATTACCCTCCGTCACTAAACGAACTGGTTGTAAACTGAGGACTACCTGCAGTTTTAAGGATTAAGCATCTATAAAATTGACTCTCAGCAGGACAGTGGGACTGGCCTTCTCCTTTGCTCTCTGTTCTTACCTGCTGCGAGCAGGTAAGCCAGCTCAATCACTGGAAGCCTGGGAAATAGATGCCTTTGAATCCAGTAGCCCATAATCCTCGCCTTTCACCTTTTCTGCCCATCTCTCTTTCCCCCAGTCAATTATTTATCGTCATCATAATTGTGTAATTACTGTAACGGCCCTTAATTATTGATGCCCGGAGCATCAATTGGGATATATTATTAATAGCCCAGCAACATGCTGTTATGCCTTTAGCTGAAAAAACAACAACAACAGATTTCTTTCCCTTTCTTGTTTTTTTTCTCCCACCCACCCAAATTAAATGTCTCCTCCTCCTCCTTCCTCTTCTTCTTTTTCCTCTTCCTCTTCCTCTCCCCTGCCTCATCAAATCCGAAAGATTTCCTGTCTCTGAGAAATTGAGAATAGGAAGCAAATCATATGGATTTGGGAGGAGGAAGGGGTACTTTTTGTAAAAAAAGAAAATGCAAAAAAAGCAATGTTTTAAAGTCTAACACAACAACCAAATTAAAAAAAGAGATTTTTTTTTTAAAAAAAAGGAAGAGGAGAAAAATCCCGAAGGAATTTCCCCCGCGTCAAAAACAGGCACGTCCAACGGATTGCGATAAATGTTTTGCAAACTCGGGATGCAAAAAAAAAATAATGACTGAGTTTTCTCACCGCTGGCCTGTTTTTCCACCCACGAGCCTGCTCACTTTTTATTAACAGCCCATTGAATAAAACTGCTAATAGCTTAACTTTTCCAAACTGGAGAAAACAGCCTCATTCACACAGCTTGCCTTATCCTAGTTTACTGAAACAGTTCCCGAGGTGCTGGATTCACACCAGACTAGGCAAACTCTGGTGGACAAAGCCGCACCACGTGGGGTGTGCATTCACATGTCCGCCTACATCTCAGACTAACAAACCAGGTTGGGGGGGGTCACCTCTGCTGTGCAGGCCCTGTTTTCAGATTGTGTTTAAGTCCCGGGAAACCTTAACCTAGCTCCTTCGAAACTCAGCAAGTTGGCTAGTCTCTACCTTCTTGTTTTTCCGGCTGTTTTTTTTTTTGTTTTTTTTTCCAGACAGAAGGTGAAATGACCTCTGAACAAGTTCCTGCTTCTTTGTTCAAATTCTCCCAGCTTGCTCTGGCAACCCTTGGCAGGGGCCAGCATCTTGAATTTAATTTGCTCTCTTGATTTGCAATTATCACCAAGATGATGGCTTCAAGGAGGAGGTGGGATAAGGACACCAAGGGATCAAGAGTTACGACTCCTCGGGAAAGGTCAGTTAATAAGACATCATTCAAATCTC